AGTGAGGTCTGGTGGTGTGAGGCGTCCCATATGAGTGTGTGTACGGTGATATATATAGGAATGGAATAGGGGGGGCGGCTGTGATATCTGCGTGAAGGAGGAGATATAATATATATCCAAATCAAATCTCAAAGATAGGCATGTGGATAATTTCTGTGTCCTCTTTTTGAATCCATAAAAATATAGATAATATCATATCTGATGCCATCCAAGCTGTGTCTCCAATTTCCTTCTTTTTGCATTTTTTTATTTCCTTCCTTTCAGCTTTCTATGATCTTTATTTCCTTATTTTTAAGGCCTGCAAAAGATAAAATGAGATGCTATCATAAAATCCAAAATCAATTATTTAAAAAAGAGATAAAAATATGATAAGATCTTCTATTAAATCTCTAATTTCATGCAATTAATATTTGATTCAAAATATCTACAATCAATACAATTTATCCCACTTTAATTGATAAATATCTCTAAAAAGATATCAAACAATATATTAAAATCAGCATTTATCAGCCTCCTGTAGACAAATTTAACCGATATTCGTCGTCTCTAGCGAAGTAAATATTTTATGATAAAGGTTTTAGTTTTCTGAATCTTTTTTGGAAAATTGACTCATTTTCCAATATTCCTTTTGGGTCATTTTCTTCATGCCAAGTTCTTTGCTTTTGTTATATCTAACAAACGTGAGAAAATCAGAACTTATGGTGGCCTTTTACCTTTACAGATATCATTGCTGTATGCTAATATCTCTCCAGATGACATCCTCCTCAAACAAAAGCTTGATGTTTTAGCAGCTAGCCATCCTAACTTAAAGGTAATGTTATTTCCTAACTAGTAATTATTTATGCTCCAAAGTCAAATCTCATTGATCATTGGATTAATGTAATCTTGTTGACAAAATTTGCAGGTATTCTACACTGTAGATCATCCAACGAAGAATTGGAGAGGTGGCGTAGGTTACATATCAGAGGACATGGCTGAGAAAGGCTTACCTGCTCCTGGCGATGATACTCTTATCCTTGTAAGTTTAGCTGTTGTGAACATATCCATAAAAAGATTCTAAATAAGATCTGGCACTTGCTTTGGTTCCTTTCTTCATACATTGAAACAATGTGAATCTCCAAGGATATTAAAATATGTTTTCTTTTATATTTATTGTTTAGAGCATATCTAAGTATCCCTACTATGAAATGTCTGGAACTTCTGGTTGACCTGTTATGAGCCCCTTCAAAGCCAATTGAGGGGCCATGACAAATATACTGCTTTCCAAGCTTCAGAAGGCTTATGCAGCTAATCTTGGTCGCCACCTAAAGATTTCGGATAATCGTCGACTTTTTACACGATTTGAGATTATTTGAATCTTTCTGGGACATCATTAAGTTATGCTTTTCTTACATGAGTTACAGTTATTCTATTTCCTGGTCGGGCATTGATTTATTGTTGTTATTTGGAAAAGCTATCATTAAAATTGTTGTAGTTTCAAAGATTTTCGACTAATGTGACCTATTCCTGCATGCATCAGGTGTGTGGACCCCCAGGCATGATGCAACATGTATCTGGCGAAAAGGCTAAAGACTGGACACAAGGAGAGGTATAAAACTGTTACGTTTTAGTTGTCCTGGATCTAAGTTTTTTTGGGACTTCATCCAAGCGTAGCAACTGGTGGTGCCACTGGGGTAGCTTGTCGTTGGCACAAAAATCCAGATCTAAGTTAGTGCTCTTTATGGGTGATTGTCTGCAGGTTTCTGGCATACTCAAAGAGCTTGGATACACTGAGCAAATGGTTTACAAATTTTGAGAAATATGAGATTGTAGCATCTGATCTGAGCACCTGTGGGTACAGAATTTGTAGAATGAAGTGATTTTCTTAACAAAAACAGCTGGCTGCGGATGAATTCAAACATGGAATAAGTCCTGAACTGCATACCATAGAGAAATGATGATGATGATTGTTCTGAAGTGGCTTTTTTGAATTCTGAAAATTTTTGTAGTTGGCCATTCGGTTGTTCATGGCCTGAGCATGTGGCTGTCAATAAAAGATATTCCCTCCTGGGGTTAACTTACTCTCCCCACCCACTCTTGAAACATCTGTTTTTCGAGAAATTTTAGATGCAGTTTTTAGTGTATCTTCTAATAGTTAAAATGCGAATCTACTCATGAAATATGTGCAAATGTGCACTTAAAGCATTACAAAAGTGTGCAAAAATGTCATAATTGTTAATTTAAGCAAATGTTTGTTAACTTAAAGCATAAGCGGACATGGGTTTTACCATTAAAAAGTAACAGTATGTTTGCTTAAATAAATGGTTGTGCATTTTTGCACCTAATTGAATGTTATGGTTTGCATTTACAAATACTTCATATGTAGATTTATACCTTAATTATTTTTAATAAAAACATGAAACTGTTTTTCATAGCTTGGTTTTAAATTATTTTTATGGAATAATTCTTTTTATTGGCCATGGCCAGTAGTCATACCAAGGGAGTGTCAATTACATGTGCACCTTTATTAGGCTTTCAAATCGAAAACAAGTGACTTAATTTACTTAAAATTACTCTCTCCTGTTTTAGTTATAAGCTTCAAATTTAGAGAGAGATATGCTCTATTTAATAAACTTTAATTTAGGTTTGTCATAATATTTAATGTATTTTTTTAATGTAATCTTTAATTATTTCTCTCTTATCGTATTTTTTTAATATTTTTTCTCATTCATTATAAGAACATATTTGGTAACAAAAATATACTTCTAACATATTCATTATTTTTTTAACTAATTATTTATTATTTATAACTTATAAATTAATTATTTGAAATTTATAGTAAGGATTAGCAGCCTCAGTTTCGAAATTCGGGTGTCTATTCTAATCTATTCTAATCAGCTGAACAAAGAGGCGCTGCCCAAAAATTATCATTGACATCCAGATGTGTGGAAGCGGTATCACACATTCACACTGTGTGTGCGTGCAGGCCCCGTAGCATTTCCTTTTTTTCATTTTTTGTTGTTGTGCTTTCCACGTCGGAATGATATTTATCACATGGGATCCTTTTGTATGTTGCTACTCATACTAAAGTAAAGTAACTAGTATTAATAACATTACTATTATTAAAATTGGAATATAAGATATAATAATTCTCATTTTATTTTTCATTTCACCAAATAAGCAGCACCGTTATATACTAGTATATACTCGTCCGGTTTTATTTATAAAACAGAAAGAGAAGATATTTTTAGTCTTATTTATAGGATATTAAGAGAAATTTTTTATATGAATGTACAATTTTATCTTTCATTTATTATTGTATTGACTTTATTTATATAAGTTATAATGTATATTAAATAATGATAAAATTAAAAAGCTGTTAAATTTTAAATAAGAATTAATGGCATTTATTTTTTTATCTGTGTAAAATATGTTGGAAGTGACTTATAAATAAGACCAGAATAGTAATCTTTGAGCAAATTTTTTTTGGCAAAAAAAAAAAGACTACTTTTTAATACAAGAGCAAATAAATAATAAAAAACAGCAAAAATATACTTGTAGATTTTTTTAACTTTATATAATGTTTCATTTTGATTCTTTAAGTAAAGAAAGGAGAGTATATTTTTAATCTTGTAAGGCTAAAATCGATAAAAAAAAATAATGACATGAAAATCTCAAATGTCAATAAAATATTTTTAAATATTTATATATTAAATTTAAGTTTCAAGATTATTACAAAAAAAAAACTAAAAATTTTATTATTAAAAGGTTAAAACTATACTTTTTTTTTAAAAAAAAATTAATGAATCAAACTTAAACTACTGAGAAAGCCTAACGTAAATTAACCAGAATGAGACTATTAATTCCCAATTCCAATATTGCTTTGCGATTCTGCCCCACTTTATTTTTTTTTAATAATTTTTTGGAGGGCTGAGCCCCACTTTTCAATATAATAACTGTGAAAGTTGCTAACTTGACCCTAAAAATGACATCATTTTAAGCCATTGGTTGAAATCCTATGCCTTAATACTATTTCAGTTTTAATTATAAGACTTTATTTATAATGTATAAATAAAGTTTTATAAGTAGATTAGAGGTAATATTAACCTTGGTATAACTGCCCCAACCTTTGGTGAAATTATCACCTCACGTTTGAGATTGGGTATAATTTCGGCTTGTTTATATAAGAAAAAATATCTGATTTATGAAGACCAAAAAATTAGTTAAAACTAGTATTATTTTCACAAGTATGTCAAAAAGTGTAATCTTTTTTACAAAATGCCCGAATTAATTTTGAATTTTTATCAAACATTTGATAAAACTCATAAAATAAATTTATATTTAATGAAGGACATGGGAAAATTTTTTTAATAACTGAGATAGACATAGGTAACTAGTCTATGCATTGTATTTAAAATAAGAAGGAACTTCCTAGAATTTTTTATATACCCTCAACATTAAGATTCGATGGTTTAAATTTAATTAATTTATTTCTATAGGTACAAAATTGAACGTAAAAATAATCTTCTCATTATTTTTTTCACCACAAATAAATTTATTATTTAAAAATCATAAACCTAGTACCATTTAAGTCAAAGTTAAATGGTCGAAATCTTATCAGATCAGCATTCATCAAATACAACGAGGAGTACCTCATTTGCATTGAACGCAAATAAGGCTGGTTCATGTATATACATTTCAGCACTAAAATTCATGCGAAGAATCAATTCATAAAAAACAAAACTAATTAAATACAGTGACATTGAATCCCATCACATCCTAAAAGCAGTCATTTAATGAGTTCCCACTATAACTTCATTTCACTTTATTTGCAAAGAATCTGCAGCATTTATCCCACCAAAATCCCACAATAAATTCCCCCATTAATTGCCTTCCTATATTTCTTGTTCCTCTTGTAAATTATATTTATGTGAAGCCGCTTTCTCATTCACAAAACCAAACGATCCAAAAGGCCTTTTTAGAATCACCCTTCAACCATATATCAAGTTCAACCCAGAAAAATGGCTGAGCTGAAGAGGTCAGTGACATCCTACAGAAGATCAGGCTCTTCAGGAACGGTATGGAATAACAAGTCTGTGTCTGATGAGTTTATTAGAGACACTAATCATCAACCAAATGCTAATCATGGAGGCGATGATGAACATCAAAAAGTGGTGGAACCCAGAAATCTAAGGCATTCCAGAAGCGTTGGAGCCACCGCGGATTTGGTTGGCCGGAGCCAATCCACCGGAGAAACCATATACTACCGGAAGGTCAAGGTTGCGCCACCGTCCAGGGATCCTCCTTCTCCTAAGCTATCAACCTGCGGATTCTTTTGCTTCCCTGTAGTTACTACCCAGCATGTATATTTTAAGTCTAAGAAACGTAGGTGATGTTCAATTTTTTTCCCTTTTAATTTCACTTTTGAAGTGTCTTGTTAGATTGCTTGGTGATATGTGCATGTTGTCAATACCTTTTCGTTTCATGTATCTGATCTTTACGTTGGAAAATTATCCTGCAAGTACTTGAAAGTCTTTATAACTTATCTCAATTTTAAATCGTGTAGAAATTTTATAAATTAAAATTAATGATTTTTACACGCAAAGATGAATGACTATAACAGACCAAATTATAATAGTCCAATTTGAACAAAATAAGTTATAAGAACTTAATTCAAAATTGAAATAAATTATAGCTACCTACAAATTAATTTTTTATATCTTCCTTTAATTTTTGTCTAATTGCTTCTGTCATTAGCCTCATAGGCCATCGCTTTGCTTATACTTTATAGTTTTATTCTAATTGAGCAACTGAGCGTGATGAACGGGACATTGTGTGATATTCTACTATAAATGAGGAACTGTTCGTCATGCCAATCCAAAATGTGAGTAATTTTTCATTTAATTTTTTTTAATGGTTTGACATCGAAATTTAAACAAATTTTCATATAAAATATATAATCTCCAGTCCTTAATATAAGATCTCGTTTGAGTTTTATTTTAATCTTAAATATAATACCTTAATTCATATTGTCTCTCATATTTACTTATTCTTTTCAAAATAATCCTTGTAATAATAATAGTTCTAGCCAATATATTTGATTAGTAAGAATATTTTAGGAAAGACAACACATATTTATTACAAATAATTAACTTAAGTAATTTTTTTAATTTACTCAAATTAGTCAACTAACTATTATATTAAGAACCAGAAGTAGTCCTAACTTACAGGTATTGTTTTTTTTTTTTCATGTCTACTTCTAGAGAATTTTCTCTCCAGTCCTCTTGATTTTCTTTTTTGAATTTTTTTTTTAAAAATTGGGTGAGTTAAGTTCCGAAATTCACTAAATTTAGGATAAAAAGGTACTTACAGATCATCCATTAATAAGTCACGATATTGCCAACAAGATTTAAACTCATAACTGCATGAGTGAACTCCTTAACTAATTAATTAGACTAATTTTTGTTGGCTTTTTCGGAACCTTCAAACGACACATTGTGATTTGGAGCATTTCTGGGCCCTCAAATTCAAAAAGGAAGATTTGACCCAAAAAAATCCAAAAAGAAAGAGTTTGGCAAAGAAAGATGGTGGCGTATATTAGGGACGTTTAATTAATGGATTAGTACGAACAAGAAAATTAGTTGCCGGGATATCTAATTTTAGGTCCAATATTTCCAGATTCCATAAATTAATGGAATTAGTCATTAGCGATGGGGATATCCGAATATGAAAAAGAGATCAGCACAAAAAACTAACATGGCTTTGGATTTCTTCACCTTAAAGGTGTTGAGATGAAAATGAAATCATGATTTTATGATAAATAAACTAAGTATATGAAAAAAAAAAATTTATCTCGGTTTGCATAGAAGCATTTTTTTAAAGTATTTTCAATGTTATCAAACACCTTTTTAGATATAATGGAAGCTAATTAAGGGGGTATTTGGAGATCAAGAAAATTGTTTTTTAAAAATATTTTTCTGTAAATCGAGATAAATTCATCCACATAGTTACTTTATATACTGTAAAATTACTTTTAAAACTATGTGTTTTATTCTATCCAAATATTTTTTAGGTTGAGCGTGATTAAGGATATAATTTGTAATTAAGATCAAGCATAAGAAATCTGAATACAAACTGGCCAAAAAAAAAAACAAAACAATCTGAACACAGAGAATGTCAGTACTTTTTGGACCAAAATCAGAGAATGTCATTGTTCAACTGGTACTCCTCTGTCAATTTTGAACTAATTTTTAATTTTAATGTAATGCCTCTAGGTCTCAATATAAGACTTAGTTAATAAATTTAAAAAAATTAAAGTAGCTAAAGAATTATCTAATTATAGCATATATTACATAATTTTTTTAAAATAGTTATGTGTATTGTTAAATTATATATTAATTTATAAATCAAACAAATTAGTTTGAAGAAAAATAATAAATATAATATTTTAAGTAATTTATTTAATTCCCTCAATTTTCTAAAATTAGTCAATTAAATTTTAAATTAAGAATTAGATATAGTAATTTTTACTCTATGATTAAATAGTATCCCATAAATTTATATATAATACTATCTCCGATTCTTAATATAATAGCTGTATAACTAAGTTTTGAATTAAAAAAATTAGTAAAGCTAATTTGCTAATGTTAACAAAAAAAAGCCATATATCCTGAAAAGCAAATTCTTGGACAAGTATTGGCAACATAGAGTTTAAGCTCAAGAGCCTAGTCCAAAGAGAAAGGCAGAGATTCAAAAGCCAAAAAGCTATATGAAGATAAACAGATTCAAATTCTCAAGTTATTCTGTACGTGACGGAATTTTGCAGTCATGGAATACAAACGAAAGGCCTTCTTTGAAAAAGTTAAAACTTCCCACACCTAATAAATCCCACTCACTAACTCATAAAAAAGACAGTGCTCCATGGGAATCAAACTCACTGAATCTGCAATTACCTCAACCAATGGAAATCCAAGGCACGAAGCTAGCACTCACTTTTCAAAAATTGAAACTTTCTCACATTATATAGGATACCCCTATATAAATGTGTATTTCAATTTTCAAATACCAAACATGAATTTCTTAAGAGTTTTATTACTTATCTGTAGCCGAATACCTACCTGCTTTTCTGGGAACTTTGAATTCTCTTTGACAGATACATGCATTCCCTATCACTGGGTTTGAAAAAGGAATCATGGTAGGAATTCAATCCCATCTCTATTCCCCTGATGGGAAACAGAAGTGAGCATTTAACTTTGATGATCAAATCAGAGAGATTTCCAGAATCCTAGAAAGCCTCACTCACTATTAAGATATCATTTCTGCAGAAGAGGGACCACAGCATCAGCAGGAATTAATAATTGGGCAAAGCCATAACCACTTGCTACCACAAACAGAAGAAGAGAACAAGAAAACAAAATGCCAAACCTATGCATTTTGTAATTTATATTCCTTTCTAAGAGTGTTGTTAATTCTTGTTAGCTCATACACTCTTGGTAAAATATCAGTTTCCCTTTGTATTTTCTACCATATTTCATCAAATGTTGCTTTCACAGCATTTATGTCCTACTTTAGTAGTTGTGAGTCATGAACCATTTTCCAGTTATGCCTGTTTATATATCCTGCCTAGGGACTCCCCTTTATGGCTATAACATCTCTCTTGAGGGACAAGTAAAGCAAAGATTGTCAAAAAGGAAGCACTTTGTTGGTCTCACTACTCACATACTCACAGTAAGGATTAGTTTAACTTTTAGGGGTAGATGCATGAGGTCTAGTAAACCTAAGTTTGCTTTTCCATTAATTGAACCAAAGCAGGTAGAGTTCATATATATAAAGGAGTCTCATTTACCCTCTGAACTTGCACTCCTTGATCTTCTGGATCTCTTTCTTCCTCATATATATCGTCAGTTTGTGGCTCTGCATCAGAATTATGGAAGTTGCAGAAATGGGAGTTCCTTGCAGCCCAAAACAGTGAGTGAGATGTTCTTGCTGCGATTTTGGACTGAAGGGAGCTCCTACTTCTTCAACTTCGATCTGTCAGCTGATCAGAGATTTCAAGTTTTTGAAGAAGAACATATATGTTATCTGTAAGTTTTGTCTTCTTGAGAAGGTGCTTTTCTTGTTAATCAGGCTCAACCAGTAATCATGAGCTTTGCCAAATAGATTATAGTAATTTCACACAAACAGGTATGGTACTAAGCTGTTCAAGAGCTGAACCACTGTACAGAAAATAGAAGTGATGTTTTTGTTGCTGTGTAGAATATTACATGTAAAATTCTCTTTCTTTACTGAAAATTCAAGCTTAGAAAGAGTCTCATGTAGATCTTATATGGTACTTGATTCTAAGCTTCATTGGAAGTTGGGACTATTTCATGTTTCTTAATTTCATTTCAAATTTTGAGTGGAATTGTGGCTAAGGATCACCTCAAGTCCCCAAACCCTCATCCCCAGAAAAAGACCAAAAGAGGAAACCAGACAAGAAACTTGTGGAAAGTTTCATAAGCAAGTCTTCTTAACCACTTGAAAACACATAATTTTTGGCCCCTCCAAATCACGATTTATATTATTCTCTTGTACAAGAGTCTACTGGGAATCTGAAGGCAGCCATACCACAAGCTATATATCGCAATATAATAGAGGACATAAAAGAGCTTACCTGTGAAGGGCGGATATATATGTCTAGACATATAAACACAGAGAGGGATGCTTTAAAAAGAAGCTTATGGCCGCCGATCTTGGAACTTCTGGGTATTCTCGTCAGGTAATTTAGAGCTCTTGTAATAGTAAAATGGGAATTATGCGACAGTATGAAGGATCTGAATCTGAATGTAGTTGAATGAGGCGTAAGCTAATGACATAATTGAAGTAAGTTGCGCAGATGATGATTCATAATTGTTTAGATTATGGCTCAAAAACCTATGATTTATTGAGTAATAAATATAAAAACTAGTTGAAGATTTAATTTATTTTTTTAAATATAAGACCTCAGTCCATTTTTTCTCCAATATTCATAGCAATTGCCCATGTTAAAGGATTTTTATTCTAATGTATATGATTAAAAATGGTATTTCAGGAAAAAAAAAACAATATTCATTTATTACAAATAACTAACTTAACTAATTATTTTAATATTCACAGATTAGTTATGAGGCTCTTATATTAAGGATGGATTGGAGTTAGTACTTAGTATTCACATTAATATTTTCGTTTTGTTAAAAGCTACATATATACTCCGTTAAAAAAAAAAAAAAAGCTATATATGTACACTCTCTGACTTTATAGAATTGAGATCATCAGTGTAAACTTTATTTCTCAGGACAAATTTTTTCCCCCTCTTATTTCACTTCTATATAATTTTAATTATTTGATTCGTTTTTTTTTAATCCTCTTCCAATCCTCAACAATAATTAAGTTATAAAAAGAAAATAGAACTCAAATCCAACGCAAAACAGAGCAAGCACGTATAGACAAAGGTATTTGCCTGTGTTTTCGCATCATGTTTTGCGAGTGGGTCGAATCTTCATTTTCCAAGGGGTTAAGGTTCATCAAGAAATCTAAAGAATTAATCTAACTAAAATATTTTGTAATTTATCAAATACTCTGAAATATTATTTTTAAGTGTATCTGGCATTTTAGAGTATTTTTAATCTTTCTATACTATCAGGTATTAAGTGTGGATACTTCTCCTAACAAAGATTTTAATACTAGTTCATTATGTTTTTTTTTTATAAGCTATTAGTTCATTGTGTTACAAGAGAATAACTTCTTTAACTAAACGTTTTGTTTTTTTTTTGGGTAACACTTTAACTAAAGTTAAATTTGAGGCGTTTTGTTTTATATGGTAAGGTCCACTATCATGGACTGGATCTGCAAAATCCAACAACCTGGGCCTCACCCAAGCTTAGAAAACGATGTTTGAAGCAGTTTATGCCATTCATATTTCATGCCAATTGCAAATGCATGTGTTTGAAGCATACGTATCGAAATATACAAGACGCCAATTTTAAGAATATCTCTGTGCTATCATCTCCCAACACATGCCCCTGTGGGATTATGTAATATATCGATCATCATTTCGATGGAACCAATGTCTGCTTTGTTTATGAATTTGATTAGATGGATGCCCAGAAAGCGACACAATGTGCCCACACGAAAATTTAAAAAATAAAAAAGGTGAAAGCAGTCATTCACTCATTCTCCATAGGTCGTGGGCAGAGTAATTTTTTTTAAAAAAATCAAATATATATCAAAGACATTAAAATGTGTTTTACTACTGGTTACTATTACTAGTATTTATTTATAAGGGACTGTTTGGTTTGGGAAAAAAACATTTTCAAAAAGTATTTAAGTAAGAGTAAAACTTTCTCTACATACTCATTTCATATATTGTAAAATTATTTCTAAAATAATAATTTGAATTTCAAGCAAACACTAGCTAAGTCATAATAGTTCAAATTTTTATAAAAAAAAAATGCAAGTTATGTTTTGAATCTGCATATTAATTTTATAGTTAAACAATTATTCATGAAGGAAGATAATTTTTTTCTCTTAACGAAAGATTTTTTAGCCAAAGCTTTGGCACTGTATTTTCACCCTGTCGAAAGAACCAAAAAAAAAAAAAGCAGTGGTCTTTGATTATTTCATTGCAAAATTTATTGTTAAAAGGTATCCAAGAGTTCAAGTTTCTGGACGGTGTAATTCATTTAAAATTATTTACAAAAAATTTATGTGAATTAAATTCTAAACATACTTCTAAGCTCAGAGAATATTTATAAAAAATATTTACAGTAATTCATTGTAAGGGGTCTAAATCTTCTTTAACAACATGTATTCACCTTTGTGAACATGTAAGCTAAAAAAAATTGCATGTAAGTACTTAAACAAATTTTGTGATATGAGATTTGTATGCAATTTTTCAATGGATTATTTTCACATTAACAAGGAATACAATTTAAATTTTAAAAATATTTATAAAAAAAAGGGTCTGAAAGGCTATAATCAAAACAGCTCCAGGAAACGAATCTCCAACCCCCCACGCTCCTCGTCAAATCCTCTTTTTGATGGAAGGATAGCGAAAATCAGATACCTCGTCGCCGTCATCTTGCTTCACAAAAGCCCGACGCATGCACATTCTCATCCATACGACTAAGGTACCCTTTTGGGTTTCGTCACAATTACAATAGCCCAAGCTTTTCATTCATTACCGGAGTCCCAGAAACCAAGGAATTTCCCATGTTGGCGTTTCCAGTAACTATAATCGCTTTAAAATGGGGCTTCTGGTTTTCTCTCGGAAATGGTCTTCAGTTTTGCTAGATTATTGAATTCATAATGCGTTTTAGTGATAATTCATGACCCAACATTCTTAGGTTGTCCTTCGCGGCGTCATGATGATTCATAGACCTCTGTGAAGTCAATCTCCCATTGGTGTGCTTGCCTGCTCTTTCAGAAATTAGCTGATTTTGAATCTCGTTCAAGAGAACATCATTTGGGATTACCCTGTAATTAAATATTAGCGAGTAGTGATCACTACGGATTCTTGGTGACAAAATTTCATTCATCCTGAGGCAAATTTGATTTGCTCGCAATTGCTTGCGTGGTTTGCGGAATTCAAAGAACCGAATTACAGAGGTTTTGGCGATACTGTGTGGGGGGTTTCTTTTAGTTCCAATGTCGGGCGGATCACCGGTTGGGGGAGGTGGATTTATGAGGCAGAGACACAGCCAAGGGTATTCAAGCAGTGGTGATGAGCTTGAGGACGATGCATGCTCGAGGCTGCGTCCTTCTTCGCCTCCAAGTCCTAGATCAAGGACGTGGATCGAAATTCTGGAAAATTTTCTTTGGCTAGCTTCGGCGGCTTTCATCATATATTTTGGTGATCAGCGTTCCATTTGATATATCTCCTCTTCCACGACGACAGGATCAGAAGGTAATAACTCGCCCGATCACCACCGGCCCCCGCCCTCAAAATACCCTTTTTCCTTCTTTTCATCTCTGCCAAGAGCATATTCATTTGTGTTTTGTTGGTCTTTTTTCTTTTGTTATTGAAAATCTCGAGAATGTACTCTATCTGGCTCTAACATTGCTTTCTATGGTGATTGGTGCATTGTGTTTTACTCAGCGAAAGTAAACGAATCAATACCATAAATAGAAAGCTATAGTAAATACTTGTTCATTTAGCTTGCATGTGTTTCTTTTTGCTCCCTATTTCTTTGTACTGGAAGGAGAATGTTCTTTTCTTCTTCTTCTCAATTACTGTTTTGCTGATAAACGGAAGACTGGGCCACACCCGGGACACACCCCTGCATGCACGATGGTTTCTATTCTAAACATGTCCAGCTCATTTTATTTGAGCTAAGAAAATAATTTTTGTCTTTGTTTCTATTTTACCCTGTTGCCAGTATAGATAGGTAGAGCATGCTACTTATGCACTATCATTGGTAGTATATTGTTTCACAGCGTGGGCACTATTCACTGTCACTTTTGATTGGAGGTAAATTATTGAACATGTTGAAAAGGATTGCTATCTATGATTGTAAGCTGTTTCAATATTATTGAAGACTTTAACTACTCAAGTTTTGCCATATTGATCAGTGCTTGAAGATGTTCATGTCTATTAAAATCACCATATTGTGAAATTTGAAAATCGGGTTAGGGATATTGGTTACTAGTGTTGCATTGTGCTTTTATATTCAATTGCTGGAGCTATACATAAATTGACATGTTATATTCAACTGCTGGAACTATGCATAAGGCGTAAATGATAAAGAATTATATGAATAGCATATTACATCCTGTTTCATTGTTGAGTATTTAGGTTTTAGATTTTTGCCCTCCTGTTGATGGAAAACTCTTATTAAATTGTCGTCCAATGGTCATATTTACCACCTTTTGGTTTTATTTGCGTCTTGTTAACAATATGGCCTTTTCATTTGGAAAAACACCTGCTATACTTTTATATAATATTTGTCAAAAAGTTAACGTTCCGGAGATGATAAGATTTAGCTCAGGGTGCTGTTATATTACA